GGGGGGGGGGGGGGTCGATGATGGGAAAGACGCTGGACAATGTGAACACCAACACCCACCATGGTGGTGCTGGTCACAGCTGGTCTGTCCTGGCGAGGGCTGAGCCGTCTGCGAGGGAGACTCCAGCCCCTCCACCAGGGGAGGGCTGGTGTTGAGCTGCCCGACAGGGGGGGGCCACGGTAGGTCCTTGATCACTTTAATCTCTACTGCAAGTGTCGCCCCGAGTCACCAGAGGAGAGATGGAGGGAAGGAGAGGACAGCAACAAGAGGCATAAATGGACAACCACAAAGGAAGTGAGGAAAGGGAAGTTATGGCAGGAAACAAGGAGGAAAAAGAGAAAAGGAGGAAGTGAAAAATAGATAGAGCATTGTAGTAGAGAGCTGGTAATCCAAGAATCAGCAGTAGATGTGGACTACAAAAGGAGAGGAACACAACAGGACTGGAAAAAGATTCAAGTTAGTGTACGAGTAAGTAGGGTTGGGTTTTGATAGCAGGTGCTTTTATGGATTTCATTTTAGGCCGATTTCTAAAGGGCAACGGTGTAATGGTCAACCGGTATTTACTAAGGTTGAAACTTAACTCCTAGAAGGAATGTTAAAGGACTCAAAAACCAAATTTCAAAGCAGATTTAGATTCTATACAGTGCTAATAAACCCCAACCCTACCTAAAGAGTTCCCCTTTCCAATAGCTCTCACTCGACAATCCAGACTGAGGATCTTAAGTCTCACCAGAGATACATTAGAAACATGGCAATGCAAAGTTCTCAATTGCTACTCTTATAAGAAGTAATGCATGATGTGCTGTATGACAGACTTACATAAGAGGCAGCCCTCAAGAATACAATGCTGTACTTCAAAGTGCAGACTATGATATATAGGACTGCCTTGAGCTCAGCTACAGATGGTCACTGATACAGTTCAGCATACACTCTGCTCTTACTCTTTGAAAAGACCTAAGGCTTCTATATTAAGATAATCAACAATGTAGACAACATCCTTCACTGGAATTCACCTCACAGCAATCCATCCTGGCAGTGGACACTCCCCGGCTTTGCCCTTTAAATAATGCATGCCTCGTGTCCAGCCGGGGTATTACCAGGGTAAATTGAGCGCCCTAGCAAAAGCATATCTATCACTGAACAAGCCACTTGTTAGTAGCTGAGCACACTTTATAAATAGGATGAAGATGGGAAGGCTTTTCGTCATCCTCTGAAAGTTAAGTGGCCTGTTTAATTATATCATTATTTTGAACATAAATCTTCATACACTCATCTCCCAGTGAGAACAGTTGCAGTGATGTCACTGTCCATGGTGCTGGAGATGTTACTACAGTAGATCAAAGAAAATAGGGTGAGTGTGATTTCGTCAAAACAGTTTCCACTGATGGTAGCCAATGCCTTTACAGTCTACACAAACAGTTGGAAGCTTACAAAACACTACAAGTTTCCAACCAAGTTGCAGAAAAAAAGAACAACAAAAGAATAGAAACAAAACTACAACGGGGAAGGGACCACAAAAGAAAAATTCATAATAATATACCAAGAAAATGTGGTTTTAACCCAGGACAACTCTACAAGAAGTCATGGCCACATTACGCTTGTTGGAGCCATTGAGTTATTATTGTCTAATAGTTAGGCTTGATGATAATATAAATTAGATTAAACTCACCGTCTAAAGGTATTTTTGTGAGTCATACTATGGTTTTCAAATGTATTAATTTAAGGCTGACTTATTATTTGTTATGTGCTTCAGTATCACGTGCATGGCTATATGCCTATATATGGTAGATTGATTGGACACAGCTGATGTTGATGAGACGGGGAAACGGAAACGTATTTTGACTGTGTTCTTTTTGTTCTGTTGGAGATAAGCTTTGAGTTACTATGAAGCGAGGAAATGTGTCCTCCTGTATATGCCGTGTGGATCAATGAATAAAGCTCAACTGATTCAACTACGATCTCCGCTGAATCGTTTGGAAACAAAGAGAGGCGCGTCAAAACCCACAACCCCGATAGAGGTGGCTATTAACATGTAGACAAGGATTAAAACGCCACCACAATGCTTGTTAATGAAACAGATAACTATGGGATGACACTCGCAAAAAAAGCCTTCAATGTTAGTCTACCCTTGTATCTGAAGTTTCTGACAGCTATATTGCACCTGGCAGCCGTGTTGGACGAGGTCAAATTGACGGAGAGTAGCAACAGATTGGCAGTTAAGCAAATCAGCAAGAACATATTAAATACAGGAGCACTTTGTGTCAATACATTCTGGAAAAAAAGTTTTCCCCCTATAATTTTTTTCGATTTGTTCAGCATTCATTGGTTAGAGAAACATACACAATAAAAAAATATATAAAAACTTTGTGAGAAAAAAACCCACAAGATTGCTAATCAGTCAGTATTTTCCACTGAGTATCACTTAAATTACAGCAATTACTTTGTCAGTGCTACTTCAGTTAATAGGAACATAATGCATCTGTATTCACAATAACCATTAGTGTGTCTCTGTGTTGTAATGTTTCGTATAGAGGCTAGTTTTCAGTGCGCAGCAGAGCGTAATGCTAGAGACGTGTCTATCTTCAACCCTACGAGGAATTACAGCTGCAGTGCTACGGGACATGCTAATGAGAAGCAATATCAGCGGGCTAGATGAAGGGGAAACTGGAGAATATTCAATCCGACAAGCAATTAAATAGCTAGGCCCGCGGTGTCAGGGGGATAATCTGAAGAAAGGTGTTTGGGAGGAGGAGCTGCTTGCGGTCTGAACTGATGGCAGAGATGGGAGAGTTGTGGCTGGAGGCTGGGAGACGGAGACAGAAGGTCAGAAACTTTAGCAGCTAATATAACTTCCACTACTTTGGGGTGAAGTAGGGGACTCTCTTCCTATGAGATTAAAAGCCTAATACTCATTTCACATTGCAGATTAGCGTGTAATTGTTTGGGGAGCAGAAGGCTGCCTCCACTCTGCAGACTCACTGTGAGACGATGTGGGCGAGTGTGGCTTGGATTCGCTCCGTGGCACAGCTGAATAATAGTATTTAGAAATGTGGAAATTAAGGCAGGCTGATTCAATATTCTGTTTTTTTTTTTTTTAAACTCTAGGTGACTGCATTCTCCCTCACCTTGTAACACCATTACAAAATGCTGCCATCCCCTAAAGTCTGGAATAATCATTGGCTTTATATGCGTAGGTGCCATATGGATGAGTGCTTTTTCACACCTGTAGCTATCTATCTGAATTCAGGACTTAGGTGACAACAGCAGATCAGTAAAGCTGATTCACACATCAATATACAAGCTATCATAATATCACACAACGGTTTACAGCTGTTTTAATCATACAGATTTCGACTATATATCAGCTCTGTGGATCAGAACAGTATTGGGTTTAATGCGAAGTATGTTTCTTCAAGGAAGGAGGTTGCTTTGGTGTATAATGGTGCCAACATAGACAAAGCAAGAGAAATACAAATGTATAATAAGATATAAGCATAAAATAGGATTAAAATAATTGGAAATGACAGGGATGGGACTTAAGTCAAGTTGAACTGGATGTAAATATCAGTGGAAAAAGTTAATTCCACTCACGATGAATCTTGTGACCTTCTGTCTTTTAATTGGTTGGTAATCTTTTCATTGTAAAGAACTTGAAGCCTAACCTATGTAGCACAATATAGCTGTCCACATATATGAATATTATATACAATCACCCGGATTATTTGAATTATTGGCAGCAGTGTTTGTGCTTCCTTTTAATGAAAAGACACAGAAATAAGGTTAAGCCAAATTAATGAGGACCTTGTATAATAGATTTCTACAACTCTGTCATGTCATCTGACTGGATCAATATGCCATCTCTCATCTGCATTATCCTGGATCTATACTAGTACACATCGCCTGCTGTTGACATAGGGAAATAGGCTGTTAACGATTCTCAAATTAGAACACAGTGTGTTGCTTTGGAAACGTGTGTTGTTAGCTGGATGTCACATGGACTGGACACACGTTGATCAGCAGCCTGATGGGAGGGGGGGGCATTCAGTCAGCTATAAACACACTGCAGCTGATTAATTATTTGTTTCACAGCATGTGTGTTGACTACAGTTCATCAACAGAACCAGAGAATACTTGAACAATGGAAAAGGGTCCCTTTTTAATCTGTGTTTACCTTCCCTTTGTTCTTCCAGGAGAAGATCTATTTTGAGGCCAGGTATTTGTTTACCAAGGCTTTTCATTAGCCCATGGCACTTCATCACGGTAAACAGTGCGGCACCATAAATCACCAGCTATGCTTGTTTCCACCAACGCCATTTAATTTAGTTCTGCTTAATTTGGTTGGCTAATTGCATGCATATTCAGAACAAGCTGGAAGAGTGCAATGTTTATGCTTCACATTATGAGCAGAAAACAAAACCAGCCTCTTCTGAAGATGTGTTTGTTCCACCCAGCGACACCCAAATCATCACAGATAACAACTGTGTAATGCTCCGGGGGAACTGAAATGCCACCTCATAATTCTCTGCATACTGTATCCGTCACATTATACGGTCCTGCTCTCTTTCAAAGCACAGATCTGTTTTGAAAGACTGTGTGTTTGCATTAAAAATGAAAAGTGGCCTTTGCCTTGCTCTTCTATCTTGAGATTGACGGAGGAGATGCGTTAGTGACGGCTGGGCAGCAGGAGCTTTCGGGAGGGGGCGGGGGGGGGCTCGCTGGAGGAGCATCCATACTTTGTGAGGGAAGTTCACAGTGTGGTTGTGTGTGGCCAATGTGTGTGAGTGAAGATAAGACGTGTGGCAGCGCTGGGTAAAAAGAACGCAGCACACGTTTGAGGCTCATGAAAGAAGTCTGTCAGGAAGGTTATCAGCATGGTGTTGCTGCAGAGGCCAGGAGGACGACACGGGGCTGCTGAGTGACAGACAGCGTGGGGATGCAGAGAGAAACCGAGCCATGGCACCCACAAAACAGCTGGCTTTAGCCCAGGTGCAAAGCCAGCGCAGGACTGTAACTGAATCAATTATTTATTTTAGGACATTAGACTTAAGCCTCAGGTTTCTGGGTCGTTAAGCCCGTGAAGATTCATTAAAAAACCATAAAGCTCCCCAAGACCTGAGGGAGCGAGCCAGAGCGCTTTCTCTTATCTCCCGTGTTAAATGCAGGGTACCCGGCTGGCTGGGAGCCAAGGGAAAGGAGTTAGTAGCAGGTAACAGAGGGCAGGGAGATTAAGTGACAATGGCTCTCGATCCCAATCCTGCTGTGATGAGGCTCAGATTTCCAATGGCGGCCTGGCCATGTCTGGGAGTGTGAGTGAGCGAGCCATATGCAAAAAGGGCTCACTGACGGACATGCGAGCCCACATGCGGGCTTCGCCATGTGGTCAAATTCTAATGTGTCTTCCTCACTCCTCATCCAGAGGCTCATCCATCACCCACTCAGCAGCCATGAGGGAGGAGGAGAGAGGCTGTGGCGAGTGTGGGTTCAGTGTGTTGGGTTGGGGGGACAGCGGGGATGAGTGATTAACCAAACCGCAAGTACACAACCCCCCAACACCCTAACAAGGCAGGGAATTTAAATTCCATTGCATACCTGTCAGTAGATAGCCCGGCAGTGAATAATAACGTAAGTGTTGTGAAGAGGCGAGTGAGGCAGCGATAGAGACGACCGAGGAAAAAGGCTGCATTAGTCTGCTCTCCTTCCTCCATCATTAATGAAGACAAATAGTATTTTACGTAGATGGTATTAGACTGTGGTGGGAGGGCGTAGGCAGCACTTATTTTATCCCCCACCCCCCTCTGAAACCACTCAATGGCTTGGTAAGGTTATGCATCTTTTTTTATTATCAGCTAATACTTTGTTTGCAGACACTTTCATTCCCCACGTAATTGTTGAAATATAAACTGTGAACGTTTTTGATGAGCGCAGAATAGTGCCCCTGAAATCCAAACGGTGAGCAGTATCATTACTCATTGATATTACACAGTCATAAAGCGCCTACACACATAACCGAGGGGAAATTGCTCTCTAGAAACCTAACACAGGGAGCTTTGGTTTAGTTTAGTGACTTTCTGCCTACAGAAGTGCTTCAATCAGCCTGAATTAGTTGCCTGAAAATATTTGTATATTCTCACTTAATTGCTGACATCTGGGGACACGGCAAAATCACCATATTGGAGTACATAAGGTCCAATGAAACAATAAACAGTAACGGCCCCTACACACGGCAGCGTGCGTTGCCGCTTCAACGCTTCTGCCCATTCACTTTGAATGGGGTGACGTCACGATTCGCAGAACTGCATTGTGGGAGCAAAGCGTAGCTTCTCTCGCGGTGCTCGCTGCAAAAGTAGAGCAATGTTCTACTTTTGCCGCCTCAACGGAGGCGTCAGCCAATCGAATCATATGCCAGTGCAAGCTCTAGC